AAACGTAAGACATTCGAATCTCGGTTTCAACAATTAAATATTTTCATTATCAATTCATTAAACACTACCCTAAGAACTTTATTTCCAAATAACTTCAAAGAAAACTTCCAATTAGTCAAATACATGCAACCAACTATATTATAACACCTATATTATCTATCAATAACATCTATGTCTCTACAAAAATAACCGTATTACCTTCTTCCAAATAAAACAAAAACTAAATCTCATAGTCCCAAAATTAAATACTTCCATTAGGAACATTCTACGGACGTTTTCCTCACAAACAAAGATCCCGTTCCTCAAAAGCATAAAATCATCCATTCCTCTTTACAAAACTCGCTTAATCCGTATCGAGACGCATTGTACCTTTGAAAAGTCAAATAAAACTGTTCGAATTCACCCTGTCAACGTCTCTCCGCTAATTACTACTGCGTTTCCGACGTCGTGCAACATTATTCTCTCGTGCAACGGGATGTTCGTCGTGATTCATCTCGCGAAATATCTGTGGAACCGGTGATCCCAGCCGTCGACAGGGAACGGCGATCTCTCTGGCTTGGTTGCCAAAGGGCAGACTCTCCCGACGTAATTCCGCGTTGCGTAACACACGATCGGGGGCACGGCCGTGCGAGAGCGCGCCGCGCTGTCTGCACCGACGAGACTGCAAGGCGGCACCGCGATGCACTTGTTGCAACAATATGCCGAGGCTTATCCACCGCCGGCTAAGTGCATCCAGTGATTCATACTGGCCGCCTGTGCAATACCAGCCGTGTGTACGCGCCTATCCATGCGACTGCGTGTGTGTATTGTTTGCATGTACATACAGTTACGCGCGTTCGCTTTTTTATGCGTACGAGTTACGCGCGCGAATCAGCATCTGGTTGAGCCGGCGGCAGATCGTGAGGATGTTTTAATGTTTCTTCGAACGGTATACGAGGAATGAGAATAAAAGGCTGTGGATGGAAGACGCAAGAAGAGCTAGGGACAACGAAGTGTGTGCGAAGAGGGTGGTTTATAGGTGGAAGATTGATGGAATCGTAAGACGGTTGTATGACTATTTTGAGGATTGTATGAAGCTTCTTTGGTAATTGGGAAGATCGGTTTGTGGTGTGGTTGGGGAGCTTGAAATAGATTTTGCCTGGAGCGGATGAGAGATCGTTGAAATATATTTGTGGGAATTAACCCGTGTGTGACCAGTCTCTGGTCATGGGGTGACATAATGCACATACTGTACACACATACATTGCACGGTTAACATGATTCACTGGTGTCTAATTTACATCGTAAAATGACAAATGGCAAAAGAATTAGCAAATACGAGATTATAACATTGGATTACGTGTTCATTGTTCGAATGTATATTACAAGTGTATAAAATGTGTTTCTGGAGTTACAGTTAATTTCCCTCGAGCTATTTTCTACGATAATTCGCATTATTGTTTGTTCATAGTACAATCACTCATCCAATTGATTTATAAAAGAAAGAAATTAATATTTGCAAAACGATTTTCAAAGTTTTGTTGATTATGTAAACGGTTAAAAATAGAATGAGATATAAAGTGCTCAAATGATTCCTTCCAATTAATTTGTTTTCCTCAAGCAAGAAAGTATACTACAGAATATTTTTCGCTTAAAGACCTACGAATTCTATCATAAATATATAAATCAATAATATATTCCCATCTGAAAGCAATTCTCGCTAGTTATATACGTTTACAACACGCTATGTAATCTTCTAGACCGGAATTATCGTAATTAACTAAAACTGAAATCCTCTTTTCGTTAACGTTGCTTAGTAGATACACAAGTAAATACACACGAAATTCGTGTAACGATTTGCAGACAAACTCGTAAAATCAGATTCCGTAACGACGGCGTCAACGTCGTCTGTCTTACGCACGATCTTCATCTATCATTCATCTTCCCTTCGTTGACGAGATTCCAAATGCAACTCGAAATGTGCGCAAACAGTTGCGACGATGTTGCAGGTTGCCAACGCAGGCTACCGTTGTATCAGCGAATGCAGCGATTATGTGCACTGAGGTGTTTATGGGAGCAGTGAACTCCTCGGGAAATCCCGGTAATCCTTTTCTCTATTCCTTGTCGTCATTCAACGACTACTTACTTACGTTTCCGTTCTTGCTCGCTGTCAGAGACACGCGCGACTATATACGTGAATTGATCTGCCTCTGCATTGTCAACCTGAGCGTAACCTTAACAATAGCGCTCTTCCTTGTTCCACGAATTTTTCCATGTTTTTCCTGACGCAGACTGTTTATCTTTTTCCTCAGAAACTTACTTTTTTCTATATTTTCACGGTATAGTTTCGTTTATTGTTTAATTTCATCGATTATGCTTTTGTACTGTAGAAAGTTGTTCTTGTTATATGGTGTTATTTAGTATTAATGATACTATATATATTATATAATATACTATATATATTATATAGTATTATTGATATAATATTATTATTTATATTACTATAGATTTATAGTGAGAGTGAAATAATTTTATCATTGAAAAATTACTGGATAAATGTTTAAATTACCAAATTATTCAAACTTCTAAACATCCGAACTTAATATTCAAATATGCAAGTTTTCGGAAACTTAAATATTTCCAAACATTTAAATATATTTCCAGATATTGAGATGTTTAAGTACTCAGATTTTTAAATGTTTAAATCCTTATTTTTCGAATTTTCAAATTGCGAAATGTTTGAATCTATGAGTTTCAGAATATTGATTTTCCAATTTTTTTTTATTTGTGTCATCGCTACACTAGCAGTGGAAAACACCAATTTAAAATTCTAAAATTTCTAAAATCTTAGAAATAAAATTAATTCTCAGAATTAACAATGATTCATAAACACAGTAAATTCTCTTATCAAACTAAAAAGAATTCAACGTACCATTCGCCATTCACAACGAAGGACCTGTCTATTGATTTCACATTTGACCCTTTTATCCACATTTCCCATAGCTCAAATTTTATCTACATGTGTCTACAGTCCATTCTTTCCACCGATTGATCATTTTACCCAGGCACTTGCATTTCGTGGTTACTTCTTCCCTGGTTCTAGCTGGACTGGTTTCCTTGTTGAATTCTCAGTTCTGATCCGGTAAGTTCTTGCTTCCTACGCGCGACCACATGAAGACGTTCTATTCAGGGAACTCCTGTCGCAGCAAAACTTCCCCTCGTGAATCTAGGTTTATGGGTACAACGCTGCCGCCAGATATTTCCGAAAGAGAATATATCGATCGATGGGATAAACCGTGTTTTGTACCTCTACGGCCGTGCCACGTTATATCAACTATCAGCGATTCGGATTCGGTTGACTTTTGTTAACTGTCAGCCTGTTTCACTTCGAATAATGTATTTTGATAAGTTTTTCGACAACTTCGTGGAAAGGTAATAAAGTAGTTCGGTTGAAAGATCGATCATTTTTTATTTAAGATAAAATTGGATTGAAGTTTCCGCAGTTTGTCCGCTTTAAAGTCGATAGATACACATTGATAACCATTGTTTTACTAAAATCATGAACGATGCACCACGCTGTAGGTTTTGTTTCATGCATATGCCAAAGTATTTGATGACCGATATTGATAGAGTGGTACGTGGCTAATTAATTCAGCACATCTAGACAAATTAATTGTTCGGGTAAAGTTGTATGATTAAAATATCTCAATTTGCATGCTCAATTGGTATTTGCACCGGTTCGTAAAATTTTAGGAGAATTTGAACAAATTAAATGATTTTTAATATCTTTAGAAAATCATCAGACACAAAATTGAAACAATAAATTCACGTGTCTGAATAACAATCTTATCATATTTTTCTCAAATCTATGACATTATTTAACGATAAAGAAGTAAAAGCGTACAACTGTGTCAAAAATAATAAAAGATGCGATATAGTTAACCAGAAATACTATGTACATATATAGAATGTAGATCCATAGAGTAATTTGGGCAAACGTACCAACCCTTTTTCTGTCTACTTATTTTACTTATATATATACATACGCATACACGAATTGTATCTCTTCATCTATGTTATGCTTCTTCTATTCTCTCAACTGTACCTCTTCGTCAACTCACGGGCCAATTTTTCATCATTCTTCTGACAAAGTGTATTTCTTTAGTCCACGATTTTCGCGAATCCGCTCGTGCACGATTATGCTCTTCTGTCAGACAATTTCCTTGGTGGGAAAGATGGCAGGCACGCAGGTACGCCAAGGAATTCCATCGAAAGGTATTCTTCGCATTGCAAAATTCCTGCGTGCATCGAAATCTAGACGCGTGCAGCGAAATGTCGATTTATAAGAGGAAAAACCCACGGCGGTAAATTTTTCGTAAGAGAAAGAGAGTAAGTTGTTTCTACAACTTTTTCTTTTTTTTTTTTCTTCTTCACCAGGGAATAAGATATTCGACCGACGTGAAGTCTATTACGAGAGAAACACGTAAGCAAGCACGGCTATATTTTCACGTAGGCTCTGAGACCGAAATACCATCGAGGGATATAAATTATATCTGTTAGAGATACACGCGTTACGCGGTTAAGGAATAGTTGAAATGTGCCGGCGCGGTTTCTTAAGTCGTCGACGTTAATTTACGCGTGCAAGTCGTTGGAACGTGGAAATGTTTCGGTAGAACTTTCACCGACAGTTTAATGTTGTGAAAGAGATATTTACTTTATCTCGTGTATTTGCTTAATTCATAGGCGTACATTTATACTTGTTCTACGTGCATGCATACCGAACTGAGAAGTGAGCTTCAATTAGGTTGCTTTGGCTCTACCATCGTCCTATTGACTTGCCAGTATTTAATCGTTTAATCTAAAACCAAAAGATACATAGACGGAAGTTTGACGAGACTATGGTTCATTCCGATTATTCAATGTTTACAAAGCCTTATTAAATTATATGTAGAATGATTCATATGGCCCATCATATTTCACATTCTAATTTTCGACTTTTCATTTTTCATCGCGGAATATATATATGTCGGAGATGAGGGGACATCGGGGCCTTTCTTTTGGAATTTTTGGGAAGATCCCAATACTTTAGTCTAGAATATTTATTATAGCTGTACTTAAATGATAAAACTTAGAAATAGTTGTTATGATTCAATCCTATTATGTTTGCCCGAGATTTGTGACGGTGGGCTCGAGGTGACACAACTCGTCGCCGAACGTAGCCACGGTCATGGGATGAACGATTTTACCTAACAGAGAAGTGCCAATATTGTGGAACACACGTTCTATTAACAATCAAACCCCGGGCAGGAGCAACGTCAGCTCTACGCGGGTCTGCATAGCGACGGCGGCTGGAATTTTGTTGATATCCCCGGCCAATATGCAACGAACAAACACGATCGTAAGGAGAGGAAAATTTCCATCGGTCTTTTATTCTTGCGATCACCTTGGAAAGTTTGCACATCGTCTTTACGTGTATTATTATACCGAGCGTCATAGCAAACGTTACTTTGTGCTTTAAAATATATTCTACGTTTAACAAAGAGTTGCCCCGTTGATCGTGGTTTCGTTATTGAACCTAAGAACATTATCACTAATATCTCGAGTGTTTAATCACCACGGTTATTTGTGGTGATTAAACAACCCATTTCTTAAAGTGTCGCTAAATAACAAAATAATCATATCGCCTATCATATTCACCACTGTTTCTTTTCTAAAATATACAACGAGATGGGAAGCTTATAGAACGATGGCTTTCTGGGATGATTATATAGCACATAAATCTTGTGAAATCATAGAACAACCAAATAATGCATCATATCTTCACTTTCACTTTACCAAAATAAGCAAAATGCTTCTGAAAATTATAATTCGCTTAGTTTTTCAAAAATCATATAATATCATATATACTCATATATACATATAATATCATATATAATATCATATTACTATTATACATTCATCTTTTCCAAATCTACCTCAACTACATAAAAATTTATCTTTATTTTGTTAAATCCCTCGCAAAGATTAAAAACTTTCCCGATATTATGATTGGTTTCGAGTTTCCAATTTCTAAACTGTAGCTCATCATATCCACACCTACTTTCCTCCAAAACAAGCGAAACGTTAAAAGAACTTACGAAATACTGGACCAAAATGATCAAATTAGCTGGCGCGTGAATTTCTCGAAAGTTTCACTAATCGGGACCCCGTACGATCGGTGACGCGGCGGGACAGTTTCTCCTGCGGAGAACACGAGGAACTTTCGAACGAAGTCTGGGCACGTCGAAAAGTTGGGTCGATCGACGTATGGCTGGTTGACGATTCGACGTTTAATTGATTGTAATTACCGCATACCGAGATAAATAGTTAGCGTTCACCTTGTGCGCGGCTGGCACGGTGAACGTGGCCGGAGGTCGCCGATATCGATTCGTGGCAATCGGAAAACATAATTCGTCGACTAATGAGGCCGACTTGGCTCGTGTTCCATCGAAGGACGATCAGTGAATAGGAAGAGAAGGGCGCAACCGAGTCGTCGTTGCGGTGGTCCGACACAGATTCAATAAAATCGTAAAAATACGGTACAGCCAGCTGTTCAATAAAGGACAATCGATCGATGGCAACGTCCAGGATGATTATTTCGATGACTATTAGTAGAATCGACTCGGGATCAGTATTCGGGAAAGCGACTACCTTTGCGATTCGTTTTCATGCCAACAGTGAAATTGCGTCGCCTTTTAAGGACAAAAACGGACAGAAGCTTCGAATCTTAATACTCGATCTTGCTATTTGTTGCGTGAAATTGAATGCGAAGGTTGTCTTTGGCCGCTGCTTTTATCATGGAGACAGATACGTACAGGATGTTCCTAAAATGGTAATCTTTGAAGGTTTAAAACTGCGTCACTGAAAGTTGTAATGCGTCGAACAAGATTTAATGAACGGGCTCGTAAACTTCTTTCTCTTGCAAGTATAATGGTTTCTGATATTAATACAAGGACATAATTCGTGGTTTAATAAGAAAATTATATCTTGTATCCATAAAGGTATATAGAATAGGTCGTATTTTATTATGGATACAAATTGCTAATTACAAGAAACATTAAATATAATTGAAAAGGCATTTTAAGTAACCTTCGTTACTCTACCCGTACATAGAGGAATCATCGCTGAATTAAAATTTCAAATAAAACAGCGAAGTCCACAAATCTAAATTTTAAATCCGCACGTTTCCATCGATCGCAAATTCTGCATGACATTGTTGAATTTTCGGATATCATTTTGAAATCAACCTATATAACACAGTTTTCCAATTATTTTCTAAAGTTATGAATCAGATGTCGATCACGGTTTCCCTATCAGAGTGCCATATATAACGCCAAGATAAATATCCCAAGGGGTAGATTTTTGCCGTGCGTTTTACCTCCGATCACACCTATACGTCTCTAAATCATACCACATCGTTGCCCAGTTCTAAATCATCGTCGATTCGAGCAAACTGAGCAACGCTGTCAGCCAGTTTAATCTGATCTGGTGGCCACCGCGATTTATATTTTAATCAGCGAACTTCGGCCCCGCCCCACACCACACGCCGATTAAATCGCCTGTGCAAATTATTGTCCGACGTATTACCACCTGCTACGTCAACTGATTCCTGGTAAATATTCGATCTGTGCTGCCCATTTGGAGCTCTCGGTTCAGATTCGACGATTTTCATAGACAAATTCGATAGCGACACTTTGGCTGATCTAACGATATAATATGAGATGCGAATGTTTATTGTTGAATTAACAGTCATGAACATGGAATCCAAATTCATCATGTTACTAGAAACTCAGTCTCTTTCTTTTTTTCGTTTCTACTTTCTCATTATTTATTTTTTTAAGGAAAACTTCTGGGAGCTTAATTATAGGTACGTGAATTATAATTGGCAAGCTTGCTTTCTTAGGATAACATCTAGGACCTTAAATAATAAAATACACAAAACGTCTTACGAAATTACGTATATATAAAACGAGTTTATAACAAGAACTATCAAAGATCAGAATATAATTCATGGATATAAAATAGAAAGAAGAAGAAGGTTAGTATAAATGTATAAATAAAAATCCATACATCACACATGGTTTTTCTTTACTGAAAAATAATTCTCGTACTGGAAAGATTTATTATCCTTGGAATTATTAGAGATATTAAATGTTATAACAATACTTCAGGTATAAACTGGGAAGCATTTTATGACCCAATTAAAACAGGTTACCTCTTATTTAATATTTCGAATTTAATTTCTGTTATCGGAATAACTTTAATAACCATCCAAATATTTCCAATAATTTACACAAGGAGGACGAAATTGTGGCAATAGCAGTAGAAATTGCAACGAAACTTTCTGTCGTAATGTTTTATCGCTGAATGAGAGTGTTTGAATGAAATAGCGAGCGATTATTTAAAAGAATGACGCGATCATCTAGTGCAATGTGATCACAAACGTTAATTGGGCTCTTTTTTCGTGGCTATGAATAAGTATCATGGATTACGTCAAGCGCCATGATATAAATAGTTTCACGGACAAATATAGAATTCTGCATGCCTCGAACGATTCGTACTGAGGTGTGACATCCGTGAAAGCAACGTGAACAGCATCGATGTGAGACTTCGCTTCCTACCGACTTCGTGGTACATCGATAACCAGTAATGAGTTACAGTTAAGTTAACGTAGTTAACTATTTCTCTCTTAACGCTTAATCGCGATCACTTTCATTTGGATCGCTTGTTACGCTTATATCCTCTCGACACACACGCTGCTTCTCACCAGCTTCGCGAGTGAAACTAGACTCACAAGCAGTTATTAAGAAATGGCCTAAAATTTAAGGCTGCACCAAGTAACCAATTCAAAATAATCACCCTATATCGATCACGATTATCGTTTTGCTGAATATTTTATTATTAATTCCAGAAATTTCTCGTTTTTTTCAACACAATCGAACCTCAATTCTTCTATCGACGACTTTCGCAATGTACACTTCATATTATCAACAAATTAGAATCCTGCAATTTCTCTCACTATTCCTACACAATCATACCAAGCGATCAACTCAAAATAAACTTACATCATACACAACTACTGTTTCCCCGAATCATGAAATTATTGGTTTAATCAACAAATTATCCAGAAATTCTCAATGTGATCTCGATCTTTCACTCGATCGTCTGCTTTTCCAACCTGCAATACGCATTATCAACAAACTAAAACTTACTGATCGTACATTGTTCTTCAAAATAATCACTTCGTATCATTCAAGAATACCGTTTCACCGAATCCTCGAATCATTAATTCCAAAACTCGATTCTTCTATCATCTACGATCCATTTGAAGCTATATACACATTTACACTTTTCGATAGCGCAGAGAGTATTATAAGCTTGATAACGAGCTATACCTACTGATCGCAATTGAGCGTGAAGTCGTGCGGCGGACGGTTTCTCGTCTTATCTCGCGGTTTGCACGGTATCTCTACGAGCGAAAACGGCGCGGCGAGAAAAGAACGGAAAATAATAAGAGGAAGTTTTGCAATAAATCGAACAACGGTTCCGCCTGGACCGGAAGCGGATCGCGCTCGAAGGAACTCGTGAAAATAAATTTCTAGTCCGGCGGCGATCGAGGTGAACATCGAACGGGCAACCGGTGAATTTCAGCGGGAGGCGACGTGTCCGGGCCTAGATTTACTGCTTGCCTTCCAGGAAAATAATCGACATTATCGATGCGCATTGCCCCGGTTCGGCGTGGCTGGCAACGTGTTTCGTGTCATCGTTGGCCCGATGGTGAAAATCCGCGGCTCCCAGTTCCGATGGAGAAATAAACGATTCGTTACTAGATAGCAGAGAACGCGAAGATGCTAAATTTGTCCACGATCTATAAATTCCTCTCTCCGTTCTTGGAGCTGCGAGATACCATCGTCAAGAAGCGATATGTACGATCGTTTTGACCAGCTTAGTTATGTTAGTTGAATACGTATGAAGAGATTTTTGGTGGTGTAAAATCCTAGTAAAGAAATGATACTTTATAATTTAAATATTTTTCTGGTTGAAAGTTTCTATGTGTTCAGTTATATGTATCATATAACCTGGAGTGAGATATTTTTGGTGATTTAGAATTTCAGTTAGAAGAAGAGACTTGGTATTTGTATTGTATTGTGAAGGAAAATTGAAATATTTTGTTGGGTGACAAGAATGTATCATATCACCGTATTCTATTACATTTAGTATTTACATTA